TGACTATACTTCATGCTCAATTTTGACACAAATCTTATAAATATGTGTGCATAAGGCAAAAAAGAAGTGTGCGGAAATCATTTCACAAATGTTACGACATGCACATTTATCAATTGACAAAAGAATTCTAATAATTTTTAGCAGTCACATTGAAATGTATAGATACCACATCTATATATACATTTATGAAATTTCTATTTACACCATAGTCAGCAAACACAGTCACTCGCTTATCTAATTACATATCTTAATTTTTTGAGAATGCTTTTCATAATTCATATACTCCCCAAACACCTATGCCCTCTTCACAAATATCGTTTAAGAGAGCATTTTTTTTGTACTAAATTTTATATCAGATGATGCGGTAAGTGATGTATTTACATTCTATCATTTAATAATTTTATGTTACTCAATGGTACTCAGTAGTTGTTAGGTCATGTGATATTACAATGTGTTCTAAAAGATGATCTTCCTAGCGGTTTTAAACAAGTTTAAATTCTACTAAAAAAAGTGAACCCATCAACCTAGTAGTCAAAAGAAGCATAGAGCAGGTTGCATTTTTTGCTCACCACCCACAAGCGGTGGTAATGCTCACTACCCAGATCTCGACGATAAATAAGGTGATTGCTTAAGGGTAATGAGAAAAAATATGCTGAATGGTAAACTTTTGGCTAAGAAACAAAAATCTAAAAAATGAAATCGCATGCAAAATTCAAAATAAATAATTTAAAAGTCCGTACCATTTGAATGCATTGATGGTACACTTGGGCATTTCCCCTGCATCAACAACCTTCAACTTCACGCCACCACACAAGACATTGATCTGCATCGTCCCAACCCTCCACCCTTTGATCACGTACCCAATCCTCGTCTTTCCCTCCACCGCCACCTTTATCTCCTTACTCTTCAGCTGCGCCGCCAGCCTTCTCCCCACCGTCTGATCCACCACTTTGTTCCTCACCCTCATATCCATCTTGAAATTCGTCGTGTTCCGGTGCCTATGCGTGAACCCTTTGAGCAGCTTTGAACCCAGCCCCAAACCTACGTCGTTCTCGTCCCCGAGGATCGCGTGCATCTCGATCCCCTCGCGGTAGAAGATGTCGAGTTTCGGGTTGGGGTTCCTCACCTCGACACTGGTGACAGCCTGGACGTCGAGGTGGGTCCCATCAGGTTTGGAGACGGGTTCGAATTTGGGGATCTGGAAGGAGAGGAGGTAGAAGGCCGGGAGCCGGGGGTCAAATAGGAGGTAGAAGATGCCGCCGGCGAGGGCGGCGAGGATGATGACGATGAGGAGGAAGGCGCAGAAGACGCAGCAGCATATGCAGTAGCAGCTACTCCGCCGGGTGCGCTGTGGGCGGAAGGAAGGGGGGATGTTGGGCTTTCGGCCTGGCGGACTGGGTACGGGCCGGCCCGGTTGGTGCGGGTATCCGTATCCTGGAGGTTTCTGGAGAACCGGTTTAATGGGCGGTTGTTGCATCATTTTGTTGGATTACTCTGTTTCTGTTCTGGGTAATTTTGCAGAAAAAAACAGAGACCCAAATGGGATTAGATTGAAATTTGTTTGAACAATAAAGAAATTAGTAATTAATATAAAAAATGTGATTGAGTTCAAGAAATTGGATTGATTTGGGTGGTGAAATTAATCGTGCAGAGCAGGGAAGAAGGGGTCAGAACATTTTTGAAAAAAAAAGGATGGAAATTTGCAATTTCTGGAATTTGAATTCTGATAAATTTGAAATGTGGATTTGAATTTCTGGGAAAAGAAGAAATGGGTAGTGAAATTTGGAGGAAAAATATGAAGAATGGAGGAAGAAAGGAAGGGGAAGGATTGAATCTCAGGAAATCGGATAACCAAGACAGAGTCGTTCAATTTTTGAGAAGTAGGAGAGAGAGAGAGAGAGAGAGAGATAGAGAGAGACGGGCAAGCAGTAAGGCTTGGGACGATGGGGACATCCAGTCGGGTCGGGGCGGGGGCAATTTAGGCGCGAGATTCACGCGTGCCGTTTGGATGCTGATATTGGCGGTAAGGATTTTTGGACAAGTTGTTTTTATTGTTTTAGTTATGAAAGAGTTAATTACAAATTTGGTCCTTGAACTTTACCGGTGGTTTCACTTTTGCCTTCAATTTTTTCGTCCCAAGTTGATCCTCGAACGCTTAAGAATTTTGTTCAATGAGGGCAATAGCGATGACAATTACAAGATTTAATAGGATTGGTGGTGGTTGGAACAAACTCATATCCTTAGATATATAAGTGTTTACGTACTAGCAGTTGGGTGACGTTTTGATAAAAATTAAGTTAAACACTGAAATGCTGTTCAAAAATTGTTGTGTGCTATTTTCTCAACTTTTGTAACCAAAGTTTCATTCTGCCTTAGCTAATCACACTTTCAAAATTTAGGAGCCAATATGAGACGGAAATAAGTTAAAAGACCAAAGTGAAAGAAATAAAAAGTTTAGGGGGCAATTACAAAATTAAACCACTATGAAATTTTGTTTCGTGAAATGGTTAGATTGGTTGGTTGGATTCTGGTATATGCATGAATGAATGGCCAAAAAGCAGGAAAGCTCTAGGTTAGGGATGGGATAAGATTTAATTTAAATACAGTTTTTTATTTTTCTTTTTTCAGAAAGGGTAATCAATTAAAATAGAATTGGTAGGTAGTAGTTTTTATAAAACAAAAATTAGGAAACTAGGAAGTTGAATGCAAGAGCAACAACTTTTCAGAGAATATAAAGGATATCGATTTCAAAAACTACCAAACACAAATAGTTGTTTTCAATATTTAACCGTAATTATTTTATTTTTTATTAGAAAAATAGAAAACAATAGAAGTGCTTTTAAGTTTCCTTTAAATTAATACTTGTTTGAAAATGTTTTTAAAATGACTAAAATTTTTTTTGGTGAAAATGTTTTTGAAACCAATCTTATAAAAATCCAAGTGGATCATAGAAAATCATTTTTAGTTGTTTTAAAAGCACTTCTAAACGAGTCATTAGTCTAATACAACTCAAGTAATCAGTAGTGGCACTAAAACAGATTTGAAGTTTTCATATCAAATCATATGATGGAATCCGTTGGAAAGTACAATCCAAAGTCACTTGGCAAAAGATGGAGATGCCTAAAATCTTTCTTGACTATTAATGCAAGGCTTTCATTTTTCATTGTACTCTTAAAACGCTCTAGCGCGTGTCACACTATCACTTAAGATAAATATATTACATAAGACGTGCCGTGAAAGCACCTGTGAATAGCTTGCTCTAACACCACAAAATCCCATATTATTTTGCAACAGAAAATTGAACACAATACACAATACAAACTTCAATGCTTTGTCCACCACCTACCACAAATGCAAATAAAAAACTTTCAATGCTTTGTCTTCCTATTACTTGAGAACTATGTATCAATCCACACTATTAGAAATACACTATCAGAAGAAAATAACAATAAGAAATATATTTAATTTGAAAAAAAAATCAATAAAAGTTGAAAATATATCCTTTTTTTACAAACGATAGTGTTAGTGAGTTAAATTATTAATTATTAGATACATTTTAATTATGCACTCTCCTTCTAAAATATTGCCTTCAAAGAAACAACAATTCAGAGTTTCTACAAACTAAAAAAATGAAAATGATTATGCAATGGAATAATAATTTTTATTCTAAATAAAAAAATAAAACTTAATATAATGACATGATATAATTTTGATTGAGTTTCTTTTCAACAGTAGAGTCCTCAAAACATATATCATATGTTCTTGAAGTATGGTTGTCCTGTAAAACAATGCTACATATCAAACTTACATTCTTTTTACAAAGTTATTGCTCATAGCAAACAATGAAATGAAAATGAGGTCAAAGGTTCGAAATAATCCTAAACACAAGTTATGTGCAAGTATTTTTTATGAAAAACTTAACGGTGCTAGGATGAGATGACAAATAAATAATTTTGAAATGTTAATATGACAAATCGCTTAAAATTTTAGTTCACATGACAAATTGAAAAAAAAAATTCATATGATATTTAAAAAAAAAATGATCCAAAAAATAATAAGTCTCTCAACGACATAGTTGACTTATAGTGTGTTAATAACTTAATAGCAAAAAAGTTGGTGCCCACATCATATAATATCTTGATTTTTGAATTTGATGGTTGATGAGTCAAATTAAAGTGGCATTTATGCATTAAAGTTGGGCATTTCTTCCCACTAACTTATATAGCTTTGATTCTTACGTCTCAATGGTGCAAATGATAAGCAATGTCAATGTCAACAACTATACACTAGTGACTCATTTCCAATTCATACCAAAATGTAGTCCAAGTAATTCATATATTCTCGTTCACGATGCAAATGGTAGCTCAAATTATAAGAGATTCTACTTTATCGTTAGATATATATTTATTGCATTCATTACGTAACTGACTTATGACTATACCCGGAATAATACACAAGATTTTTCTCAAATTAGACACTTCTAAGCTAAACACTTTTTTTTTTTTTGGTAAACTGGATATATCATAACTAGGGCAAAGATGCCAAAAGTACATATAGAAAGCCTACATCAAGGCAAGGGGATAAAAGGGAAACCGACGCAACAAGAAAAGCTAAACGCGTCACCCCTTCCTCTACCACAAGCTAAACTAAGGAGGGCAGGGAAGTCCATCATTGTTTAGTACACTTTTTTGTTTTCTTTGCCTTCATGTTAGTGTTCGCTTTCAACGATCATCCAAATTTTATACAAACGATCTTCCCAATTGTATACAAATAAGTTACGTATGACCAGTTATCACAACAATCAGAGTGGCGCAGCGGAAGCGTGGTGGGCCCATAACCCACAGGTCCCAGGATCGAAACCTGGCTCTGATATGCCTTTTTTTTCTTTTTCTTTTTTTTTTTAATTTGGCCCTATTCATATCTTCATGATTGAAATTCTCCAAATTATACTTTCCATTTCAACATTTTTTGAGCATTATATGTCAAATTTTGCACACATATCATCAACATATGTAACATAACCTAACAAGTTATGCTTTCGGCTACAAGCGTAACGAAAACCACGGATGAAATTACAAGGTCTCGGTGCTTCGTTTTAGGATCCTAGTTCGAAGAATCCAACTCTAACAAACTACAACGGGTTACAGGACAGACCCCTTCTACGATAATCCGCTAGCAGCCTAGTACAACATAATCTTAAAGCACCTTACCCTTTAAACTCTGTACTGGTCTTCAAAAACCTCGCTTCTAAAGATCAAGGTGCTCGCTGCAGAAACTCGAAGGCACAACCGAGAGCTGCAGTCGCCCTGTCCATTCCTTGCCTGGCTTCAATGTGATAGGTTTCTCTATCGCTGCTCCATCCACACAGAGCATCTGCTTGTACTCCTCATCACCAAAATCAACCATAGATTTCGATTTCTTCTCCCACGGATTCCAAACAACTGTACAAGGGGGAATGAAACGCAAACAGAAAGCCAAATTCAATATCGAGTCATCTTTTTGTTCAAGCACGTCAATGCAATATGTTTAGCTAAGCTAATCCCTTTTGCACACCAAAAGCTGAGACCTGAATATACAAGCTCCACACGCCAAAATTTTCAGTCTATTTCACTTTCCGTCAGATATGAAAAAGTAATAACAGTGAAATGTCAAACATGTCCCAGCTTACCAACATCTGGTAGTCCTTCCTTTCGGATTACATATGTTCGCTTTTTCTCATGATCAAGGACTGCAACTACATTGGGCGAACTTAGATATAGTCGACTGACCTGCCAGTAGAAAATTTTGTATCTATAAGCCAATGCTCTCATATTGCATCGACAATACTAGCAAGAAAAGAAAATTTTAGTTAAGATTTGATTCTAACAGATTATAAAGTCGAGACTGATTGAGTTTGGCAGAAAAACATAATGAATATACTGTTCTGAGAGGTTGAATGGTATTTCTTCCTCCATGCCACTTATAATATCACAGTATGGAGAAATGAAATAATAATTTGTTGTGAACTTTTATTGTTTCCGAATCTAGAGTTTCCTACTTCATATGTAAAACCAATTTCACATGTTTAAAATAAAAATACTTTACCTCAGACTCAAAAGTTATGGCATCTCCTTGTTCTGTAAAACGTTGTCGTTCACAAAGGTTGTCTAAGTAGTCAAGTGTCTCCAGCCCTTCTATCCTCACCTCACTAGGACAGAACTCATTTCACATTAATAAATCAAATCACATGCCCATAACGAAAGCAAATATGCAACAATCAGAAGGCAGATGATTGTGAATTCAACAACAGCTAAATACCTTATATCAGAAACCAAAAAATAAGTGTGGTAGGCAAAGGAGAAATCAAACGGCTTGCCGTTGACATTTCTAACTCGTGATGTCAGGATCAGATCTCCATTTGTTGCAAGAGACACCCTAAGTCGAAACTCAAAACTGCAAAGGAAACAAAGACAAGAAGACAATTACCTAGGACTTGCATTTTGCTACAAAATTGACCCTACAAACTTCAATCAACAGGAAAAGAGTTGATTGTCCCATTTACCTAAAGAGACCTTATTGTAGTTTTATCTAAGAATACAGCATCCAAGCTCATACCTATGAGGCCAACACTTCAGGTCGTCTTCAGACGGTTTTAGTAGTAGATCAATAAAGGATTTTCCATTGGAATCATTTGGTTGACGCATTTCAGGATTCTCATCAATTGCCCACACCTTATTCCTAGCAAAACCATGCTTTTCCAGCGATCCACAGTTCCCAAACTTCGAAAGCATTAGGTAAAAAGCATCGGTTGGAGTGTTCAGATTCACGTATCTTTTTAAAAGGATAGTTTATACAGGAATAATTGATAATACCTGTGGGAAACAAATGGGAATTCCTCCTCGCATCGCTTTTGGGGGCTTGAAGATTGCCTGTGATTGATGAAATGCACGTTAAAAGAATCTTTTTATCTATATCTCTAGTCAGTAAGATATGTTTCGGACCTAATGTCTACACTGTGCCAAATATCAGCCATGTATTCGGTAACAGGGCATAGCCTTGCATAAAACTTAAAACGCAATTGAAACCCTGATCCAACGGGAAATCTGATTTGAACACATAGACTATGAACTAGTACAGATTGGACAATCCTAAAGCAGAGTGTACTCAGTCAACCCATTTTACTTCTACGCCCAGTCTTCGTGACCATTCAACCATACATACAAACATAGACAACATTCATGCCAGGATAAAAGACAAAATCAAATGCTTTCAACTACAACAACCACAAAATTGTAAGAAAGAAATAAATGGAAAGCAAATCTATACAATAGGAAATGAAAAGTTATACCTTGCTGCTAGTGAACAGGAGTTCTTCGCCGTGCTTATTCCTCCATGAAGTGACCTGTCCTCCAAGTAAGCTAACCTATATTATCACAATAGAACTCATTAATCGCAACGTTCGCACACACACTAATCACCCCACTGATATAGAAACCAAAATGGTATATGAACAGAAGTTTTCACATAAATGAACTAACAATTTAATGACAAATTGTAAATTCAGAGCCTTCAAAAACTTAATTAATGGCGAAAACAAGAGATTCTCGAATCTCACCCGTGCCGAAGCCCCTTGCTGGTTCTGAAGCACAACTTGTTCTACCCCATTCCAATCTTTTGTAATCTCAATTGCTGCCCTATGTTCCCATTCTCCTGCTGAATGGCCCATTTTGTGGCAAACAAGCAGAATTCTCCCTCTCCCAAGTCCCCAACTCAGCAAATCCCAGTGACACAACCAAAGATCTAAACTTAAAGAAACACCTAAACTAGTAAAAAAGCAGTAATCTTTCGAATTAAAAGAGAAAACCCAACTACCATTACTCCTCAAATCTACAAAATCTCAACTTTTCGACCCCAAACTGCTAATGCCTCTGAAGTGTCATTAAAGCAGCAAAACCCAAATCCAGAAAACCCAAAAAGTGCAATTTGGCAGCTCCGCAGGAAACCTCCAACTTCAACACCCACCTAAAATTCTCACAATCAATTTAATGGAAAATAAAAGGGAATCCAAATTTGCAGAGCCTCACTTCTATGGAACTTTGAATTAATACACACTCATAAAAAAGAATAAAACCAAATTCTCAACTGTAACAAGCCTTTTTCAAAAAACCCATCAAAGGAATATTGAAAACACTCTAAACTACCTTGTAAGTCTTAAGTTTTTAATTAAAGTCAGAAACTTTCAGGCAGAATCCATTTTTAACTTGCAAATTAAACAATGCAAACACAGTACCTTGAACAGACATCAAAACTGAGTAAATGTCTAAGTGCAAAAGCAACCCTTTTTCTAGGAAGCATTCAGTGTTTCCAATTACAATGCACACACAGTACCTTGAACAAGCACCAAAACTGAGTACGTCTTAACTGCAAAAGCAACCCTTTTCCTAGGGAGCATTCAGTGTTTCGAATTTGATATTAATAATACAAACTAATTCTTAAGGGAACTTAATAGAAAAAAATTAAAATAAAAAGAATGAGGTTAGAGATATTATTTTTTAGACTATATTTGTAAATTACATAATTTGTTCATAGATAATTAGATTTTATCTTTAAATAATTAAAAATAGAATCCAACCACCAATCGTTATATTACAAAATACTCTCATAGCAGTTTTTAAATAATAAGAGTAAAACAAAAGTGTAGTTGGTGGGAGAATGAGAAGGAAGTGAAGGAAAATAATAGGAAATATGTTTGATAAGGAGGAAAAAAACAGTGTTTTGTTGCAGGGATCTAGGAAAGAGTAGGGACGTGGAGATACGAGAAGTGCATGAGAGACTGTACAACCGGTTAATATTTGAAACAATTTTTGTGGGAAATTTTTGAAATCGAGAGAGACCATGCACTTTTAAAAATTTGATTTATGAATGAATGAATGTGCCAACTTTGAATGTGAAATGAAAATCACAAAGTTTTGTTTCCTCCTATATTTGTTAATTTTGTTTATGGCCAAATTTTTGGGTATTAACGAGCAAGATGAATGATTTCTATGAGAGAATAGAAATTGTATGGTTAAGCAATATATTAAACAAGTTATATTATGTTGTCAATTTGTTTATATTTTAAAATAGATTCATTTTTAGTGGTCAGTTGAAGATCTTCATAACAAAAATTTAGAAAGGCTTCGAGCAAACACGAGAATGATATAAATAAGACGCCATTTATGATCAATATAAGATTTTCATAACAGAATCTAAAAGATTACCATACAAGATCCTACATATGCAAGGAAAACATATGCCTTGTATCAGGGCCGGCTCTGGCCCAGGGCTAGCAGTGTAACCGTCCAGGGCCCAAAAACTCGAGGGGCACAAAAAATTGATAGGGTAGTATTCATATATATTTCCATAAGCATATAAAATTTGAAACCTTGGCTAAATCAACAAGAACTTTAGGCAGGAGTGGTGGTGTTTTGCGTCTTACTTAACAAGACGGTGTCATGTTCGAAACCCAATTTGTTCATTTTTTTTTCCAATTTTTTACGATATTCTGTTTGGGATCAAAGCAAGGCACGTTATGCTTTTCCTTTCATGCCTTTCCTCTCACCATTTAACATCGTGATGTAATTTGCACAACAAACTAAAATACAAATAAGTTAAAACAATAAATTCGAAATATGGTGCCCAACACCGGGGTGTATTTTAATAAAACAATAAATTAGAAATATGGTGACACACCCCGTCCCGAAGGAGGGCATGCTGGCCGTCACGTGAGAGTGACGTAACCATTTGCACAGTACGGAAGCTTTAAAGATACAATTTATAAGTTGATACACCCGAAGGTGAGTCCTAATTTTGTCCAATCTGTCAGAACACCGTCGAATTCCTCGTAGTCACTACACCTTTGTGATTCCTGAACCTGGAGGGGCGCAAAACCAAAACTGAGTGTGTCAGTAAAACAATTCTTTTCCAAATCCAAACATTTCTCAAAACGTTGTAACCCCTCTCCGTAAAACCTGTATACTTTCCCAGAAATGTAAAATATAAATATACATATATATTCTCAAAACTTCAATTCACTTTTTCAACATTTTTCATATCAGTTATGCCATGCCATGTCTAAAATCAACAGTTAAGTATGGATGCATCAACAATAATCATATCAGGTGCAAGAAAGTAATCAACCGGAGGCCCTCTAATAGCCCTGTACGGTTGAATTTAGAGCTCAAAATCTATCACTATCACTCTGCCGGAGTCACCTCTGTGACTTGTACGGCCTTCTGCACATAGGTTACGCTCTAGTGCTTCTCTCATTAATCATCTGTGCACATAATCTAAGGTCACCCACCAGTCGAAATCTCACTAACACTCTTCGACTGGCCCGTCGCACCCACTCCGCGTGGACTGTGCGACCAGCATCTACTTGGATCCAAGGCGAGCGTGCGATGCGGTGAATACTATAAGCACTAAACCAAGGTGCAGGATTTGAGCTCAATATACATCAACATCATCATATCAGTAATTAAATACTCACCTGTGCGTCCGCCGCACCAATTCATACATATGCATCATATCTCAATTCATACTTTTCATATCATTTCATGCATGGCAATTCGATTCACATTTTTCATATAATTCTATATACTTTTCGCATACTTCTATGCATGGCATTTCAACTAATATATCTCATATACTTTTATACATTTTCATTAAAAGCATAGTTTCATGCATTTTCAATTCCTGGGAAAACGGCAAGTATATATGTATACGGAAAACAAAACTGCCCACTCACAGATTACATCGACGTCTCGTAAGTCCCTGAGCATCCCTTGGCCATGCCCAACGTTCGTACAAGCCTCGCCTATACGAGAAATAACCGAATTAACGTTATTTAACGCATAACCTAATTCTTAGCTAATAACTCCTCATATATTGCTCAAATTGGGTATATGAATATACCACAGTGACCTACACAACCTCAGGATCATCCCCATATTTTTAAAATAATTTTTTGAGGTCTCACGCGCCCACACGCGCCTGACGTGGCACGGACCTACGCGCCCCCCACGCGCGGCCACGTGCCAAGCACACTGACGGTGTCAATTGACGCCGTCAGGAATATTTCGTTAAAATCCCGGAATATTCCGTTAACTTAACCGGATACCGTTACTGCCGTTAGGAATATGCCGTTAAAAATAACGGAATATTCCTTCTTCTTCTCCGGTCGTCCCTCGCCGGACTCCGGTCACCGGAAACTGGGGAATATTTCAAATCCACTATTCTCCTTCGTTTTTCATCCAAATTTCTCGAATTTTACACCAAATTGAAGCCCTAAACATCTACTCTCACGTTGGACTAGTTTTAAGGCCTAAAAACAACGGGATCAAACTTTCAAAAATTCAAGAAATCGGCCTACCTTTGAACTAGGTGATCCCGACGTCCAATTCATGCCAACGAAGCACTCCGAGCTTCCTTGGGACTTCCTTAAGCTCACTGTGAGCTTGGTTTGGCCTAAAACACAACCAATTCAAAGCTCATGAACAGTACACATTCACGGCAACTTTAAAACTAGGGTTTTCCGAAGCAAAACTTACCTGAAATGGATACCATCGCGATCGTGAAGTCTTCAGGGTTCCAATGGTGGTCTTAGATTCGTCGTTGGTATAGATTTAGGGTGGTTTTGTGGTGGTCCGTGTGAGTTCGAAGGAGAGGGAGAGAGAACTGAGAGTTTCGTGAGGGAGGAGAGAGAGAGACAGTGAACGGGAAATGAGGAAGGTTTTGAGGGATGTGGGGATCCCACGTGGTCCTTTTTCCAATCCCAAAACACCAAACTTTAACATGTTCATGAAATTCTTGGTCTAAGTTTAGACCCTAAAACTAGTTAATATTTTAAATTAACACTAGTTTAAGAACTTTAGGTTAAACTAATGTCACATTTATGCACCTTAATCCCGTTTAAGGGCACTTTAGTAATTTCATGTCCTCGGAAATGAAAAAAATTCTGGGACGGGCTGTGACAATCTTCCCTCCTTATAGAATTTCGTCCCCGAAATTCCAGCCACCAATCAACCCATCAATACTCATACCAAACTCAGTAAGTCTCTTTCATCCGATTCTCTTTCTCCCGCGCAATTTTCTTCTACTGAATAATTCCTTCACAAAGCTTTTACCACTTATACTGTCATTCTTTTCAGAACCTTCTTTTTCCAATCCAAAGTCGTCCTTGGTTCCTTATCAAGTCGAATCCAATTTAATTCTCAGTAGTTGCACCAGAATCTCATGTGACGAATCTGCCACCTAGTGACAACGTATCGAACCCAAAATACATTATGTGCCTTAGCCAATTCTGAAGGCATCACAAACTTGTATGCAACTTCGTCGATTCCCTTAGTGATCAAAACGGACCGTTGTGTTTAAGTCTTATCTTATCTTCCTTTCTGAATCTTACTATTTCTGTTCATGGTGAAATTCCAAAAATATCAAACCATTTACCTTACACACTCGATTAGTGGCATATCCATCTGTTGATCTCTTTTGCCATTCCTGGTTACTTCAGGTTAACTTAATCACCTGAATACTTTGAGGAGACTCATCCATAGTCTCAGGGTCTACTAAAACTCTTTCATGATGGAATCTTTCTTTACCCAGAAACATTCCATCCACAAATCCGCAAAAATCGACACACATGACACATTTCATGGACCTTATGGCGTTATTTCGGAAACTGCGCACCCAACATACTTAAGAAACTCAGCAGTTCCGTAATCCAATTCTCTTTCCATAAAACAAATAAGTACCGTTGCTCTGTCTGGGAAAAAGTTATTACTCAGCACTGGAGTAATTGTACTAACTTGGTACATTGACCAACTATCACTTCAAATTCGATCATAACCATCCTATGTACAAGGAAACTTGTACACATAATCCAAAGTAATATCTTTCCATTTCCACTGCGAAACAGAAAATAGTTATCTCAATCCAAAGGTTTATCTCTTTCTGCCTCAATCTGCTGACCAAATAAAACTGTCGAATGGTATGATAAACCTTATTACTTTCGGAATATTGCAGAAGCTGAACAGTGTACTTCGTCCAAAATTGCTTACTTTAAATCCTTAGCATTAGGCACATACTTTTTGTTTTCTTGTATCCACATACCATTTGATTCACGAATCATGTACTCATTCTTTTTCCCTTCTTTCTCTGCCTTGGTTAATTCTTAAATTTCTTCGTCAAGCATTTGAGTCTCGAGTACAACCTTACCAAAAATGCCTAACTTGAAATTTAACAAGTATAACTTCTTCTCGATCTTTCATTCTTAACTTTTCTTCCGTTGGTTTTCAATCCACAAGATGATACTCTTGGCAAACGTGCCAGACATTAATCTTACTGCAATCTTTTCACCAAGTGTATCAGCTAGAACAATTTTACGATCACCCTGGTCGTACAATCATGTTCATTAAGCAATACAATTCACCTTCGCTGCCTCATATCAAAATCCTTCCAAGTAATGGATATTGAAGACTTTTTGGGTTCGTAAAAATCTTGCATTCTTACCCAATATAATGCCTTCATAACTTCACAGCAAGAATGGTAATCATGACTTCCAAGTCACCCGTAGGGTAATTCATCTCATGAGGTTCCATTTATCGTGAAACGTATGCAATCACCCTAA